ATAATCTCTATTTTGTCTGCATGTAGAACCCTAATGGCCCTAGGTAGCTTCAGCTTTGTCCATCCTCACAACTTTCCCTAAACTTGACGCCGGTTGCGCTAGAAATATCGGTTGCCACTGAAATTTCGGCCGCATCGGAAGTGCTGAGTCACTATTGGTACTCTATCTGCGGCTAGAATGTCGACTACTCCTTCAGCAGATGTTGCAACCAAAATACTCGCTCCAAGCTCATGTTCAGCCACACCTCGAACCCCAGCCACACGTGAAAGCCTCGAACAGCTTCAACACCGTCTACTTGTGTAGTCTCGACGAAGTTCAGCAATGCATGTCACTGAGCCGTCCACTGTCCCTGAAGTCGGTTACAGTCAAGAACTCTGCTACATCATCAACACTGTCTACATCCAAAACGTCAATCATACGTGAAATACATGCTACAATTCTGACCTAGTCATCACCCAAGTCCATCATACCCTTGACTGACGCCGACTCCAGCATGAATTACAAGTTATACGTTCAACGTCGTACCCTTAGAACTTCGTCTGCCACATTATCGCTGATGACTCAAAACCTCAACTACTTCTTCAATCTTGGCTGCACCTAAAACCGAGCAGACCCGTAGTTCCATTTGGATCCGAAACGTTAACTGTACCAAAATTTTCGTCTGCCTTGAGGTTTTCTACATCTGTAGCTTATTTTATGCACAGAGCACAGTCAGGCCCAAAAATCGTGAACATTTTCGTCGCTGCCTTCTCCAAGATATCAGCTGCTTCTTCGACTTTACGCAGAGCGTTCACTTCAAGGAGAAATAGGTCGAGTGCACCCTGATTCTGGCTACACCCCAATCCTAAACTTTGGCCACAACAAGATCTCCGCATTCTGGAACCATCCCGGAATTTTTCAAAAATGTAACTAGAACATTTCTTTTCGCAACTGAACTACTTTTTCTGTTGTTTTGCTCAGCTCTAGAGAATGGTTCACTGCGTATTTGTCTTTCCAAAGCATTTACCTTCTTATTCTCCTTCATCGGACGAATTTGTGAAGTGAACTGATTTTTATTTTTTATCTCTATTTTGTTGTGATACAAAATCTATGTTGAATGACCCTGAAATTTTTTTCTGTACTGTTATAAATGTATCAAAAATGTTATATGTATTAGATATATAAAAGAATTAAATTGTTAACAGGGATTGACTATCATCGGAATGCTTAGGATTTCGAAATGTGCGCCGAGCTCTTTCAGGAATAGAGGCCTCCATAGCGCCATCGCGTAACTCGAGTCATCAAATGTAATGAGTGGGTTACTGAACAGTTTGCTTTATTGGTTGCAAGAATTATTTTCTTCTCTAGTCGCATAGGAGCTCTTTTTCCTCCAAACTCTCCCCACTCCACTCTCAGGTCGATCAAATTCTCGTGTCCGCAAGCGCATCACAAATCGTCGCCACATAAATATTATTGGTCAAAGCGACTCCGAACCAAATTCTCCAGTCTGGAGTGCATATGCAGTGAGAATTTATCGACCAACATCCCAATGAATCTGCTATGGAGAAATGCGCACTCCTAAGCCACTATTTTGAACGCTGTAGTCAAGACCGAGCACTCAACAACACACAACGCAACGGCACAACAACAACACTATGAGCTCTGAACTTCTAACATAACGCTCTTTAGCCACGAGAACCTTGTCTACAATTCTGTAAAATGTGTTGGTTCATGCGAGTGGCACTGCCCATTTGATACAACCACTGGCAGTGATCATCCCACTAACTATGAAACGCTTCGTCTGTCTGTCGTCTGTCGTTATGTGTGTCTGTCACGAAATTCCCTTGCTTGGAGGGACCGGGTCAGTGTGGGAAGGGTGGCTCAGGAAT